TATTTCAGTAACCAAGAAAACCAAGAGTTTTTACAATAAGTTTTAACAAAGGTTTAAGAGGCGTTTAAAGAGCTGTTAAGCTAATTTTCGTTAATCTACTTCAAGAGAAGTTTTCTACAACAAGAAGTGGCTTTCAATTCCTATTGGAATCATCATCTACTACTCTTCTTGTTTATTGAGAAGCTTTCTAAAACTCTTCCTTATATAGCTTACTATTTCATTTTCATTTATTTAGCTATATTTATTGAGTTGTATTATTTTCATTCACTGTTATCACACACACATATTAAGCTTAATATCTTCATACTATATAGTGTGGGTTGTGGGGTGTGATTTAGTGAGTGTGAGCTTCATTTACGTTCTCATTTGTCAAGTGTTTGTTGTGTGAGAGTTTTTCGGTAAGCTTGTAAACCGAGTGTGTAGAAGTTCCGGCTTCCAAACTGGATTATGATAGTGGAGATCTCCTCGAGGTGAGGAGCGGTGACGTAGGTCGTGGTGACCGAACCTCGTAAACATATCGTTTGTTTGTGTTTTGCTTAGCGTACTTTTTATTTGTGCTTATTCATATCTCTCTTGCTCATATCTATCTTATATCATTCTTGCAAGAACAAATTAATCAACATAATTTTAATTGGCTTTTAATCGGGATTAGATTAGCATAAGACCCTAATCACCCCCCTTAGGGTTTAACAAATGCTACCTACTACATTGGAGTATGGAACTCAGGACATCTTATTCTTCTCGTTCTCACTTGTAGGTGAATCTGAAGCCGAGAGCATAAAGTGAGAAGCCAAAGGAGTCGTAACGGGCTTGGCCTTTTTCATCCCAAAGCGTTCAAGCACCTTTTCAATATAATTCTTCTGTGAGAGATATAAAGTTCCAGCTTTCTTGTCCTTCCTGATTTCCATACCTAAGTTCTTCTTTGCTGCACCAAGATCTTTCATCTCAAACTCATCACTGAGTTGTTTCTTCAAAATAAGAATCTGCGACATGTTCTTAGCAGCAATAAGCATGTCATCGACATATAATAGAAGATAAATAAAAGAATCATCTCCTAGATGCATGTAGTACACACAACTATCATAAGTACTTCTTGAGTACCCATGACTAAGCATAAAATTATCAAACCTCTTGTACCACTGTCTGAGAGATTGCTTCAGGCCGTACAAAGATTTCTTTAATCTGCAAACTTGATCTTCTTTACCTTCTACGAAGTATCCCTCTGGCTGAGACATGTGTAGATAGTCTCCTCAAGTTCGCCATGTAAAAATGCAGTTTTCACATCAAGCTGCTCAAGCTCCAGATCAAATAGAGCAACCATGACAAGCAATACACAGATAGAGGTATGCTTCACAACCGGAGAGAACACTTCATCATAGTCAATTCCCGCCTTTTGTCTATAACCCTTAGCCACCAACCATGCTTTGAATCTAGCATCTTCAACCCCTGGGATCCCTTCTTTCTTTTTGAAAATCCAATTGCATCCAATTGCCCTTTTACCCTTAGGTAATTGCACCAAATCCCAAGTCTGATTCTTGTAGAGTGACTCGAGTTCTTCTGTCATAGCTGTGGCCCAACGTCCAGATTCTCCGTATGAGACAGCTTCAGTAAAGTTTGATGGCTCTTGAATACACATCTCTTTAGCTGTCGTGAGAGCATACGCCACTAATTCAGCATGTGCATATCTTTGAGGAGGTTTGATCTGTCTCCTCTCTCTGCCAATGGCTATGGAATAAGGTTCTTCAATCTCAGCATTATCAGCATCTGAGCCTGAATCATGTTGTTCTTCTACAGCTGTAGGAGCAATTTTTATAGACGACTTTTGAGACGTCTCTCCCTCGAGCTCCACCTGAAGCTCCACCTTATCCATGATCTTCTCTACATTTCTTGTAGACTCAACAGAAACCTTCCCATGATCAAGCATATATCTTTCATTAAAAGTAACATCTCTACTAATAATGAATTTAGGAGAATCAGGTTCAAGACACCACAAACGATAGCCTTTAACGCCATCAGCATAACCAATAAATATGCATTTCTTAGCTCTTGGCTCAAGCTTACCCTCTCTAACATGATAGTAAGCGGGACATCCAAATACCTTTAAATTTGAATAGTCATTTGGTTTACCTGACCATACCTCATTTGGAGTCTTGTGTTCAATGGCCGTAGAAGGAGATCGATTCACCAAGTAACAAGCTGTGTTAATAGCTTCAGCCCAGAAGTCTTTATCCAACCCAGAGTTTGAGAGCATACACCTAGCTCTCTTCGTCAACGTTCTATTCATGCGTTCTGCCACCCCGTTTTGCTGAGGAGTGTGTCTGACCGTGCGATGTCGTACGATCCCAGAATTTGAGCAGAACTGATTGAACTCACCACTACAAAACTCTAGGCCATTATCTGTTCGGAGACGTTTAATCTTCTTTTCAGTTTGATTTTCAACAAATACTTTCCATTTCTTGAAAGTTTCGAACACCTTGCTTTTGCGCCTGAGAAAGTAAACCCAAACTTTCCTGGAAAAATCATCAATAAACGTCAGAAAATAAAGCGCCTGAGAAAGTAAACCCAAACTTTCCTGGAAAAATCATCAATAAACGTCAGAAAATAAAGAGCACCACATTTGGATGGAACCTGAGCAGGTCCCCACAAATCTGAATGGATGTAGTCGAGAGTGCCCTTCGTCGTATGTGAGCCAATCGAGAAGCTGACCCGAGTTTGCTTCCCAAACACACAATGCTCACAGAAAACCAGTGATGATGTATGATCACCACAGAGTAAGCCACTTTTACTCAAAATAGTCATCCCTTTCTCACTCATGTGGCCTAAGCGCATGTGCCATAACTGAGTAGTGTCCCTATCAGCATCAGAGGACACATTTGCAGAGCCTGTCACCATACTATCTTGGAGAACATAAAGACTGTTCACCTTACTACCTTTCATCACAACCAATGAGCCCTTAGAAACTCTAAGAGCTCCACCTCCACCACTGTAAGAACACCCAATAGAATCCAAAGAACTCAAAGAAATCAGATTTTTTCTTTAAGTCTGGGATGTGTCTCACATCTGATAAAGTTCTCACTATCCCATCGTGACACCGGATGCGAACTGTACCAATACCAACTGTCTTGCAAACTATATTGTTTCCCATCAAAACTGATCCACCACTTATAGATCTGTAAGTAGTGAACCAATCTTTATTTTGACACATATGATAATACGCACCCGTATCCAAGATCCATTCTCTATCGGAACGGCCATCCAAGGGGCAAACTGCAAGAACCGTCTCAGCAACAACAGCAGTATCAGTCTTTACCGTATTAGCTGAATCTGAGGTTTCACCATGCTGGTTGTCTTTCTTCTTTAGAGCATAGCATTCTGACTTGTAATGCCCTTTCTTGTGACAGTAGAAACACTCCACATGTTTCTTGTTTTGGGCTGATCTGGACTTTGAACGATTTCTGGATTGCCCTTTATCACCCTCTCTGGTCTTCGTTCTTCCTCTGGCTAGCAGACCGTCAGCCTGCCTATCGGTACCTCTCCCATTCAACTTTGTTCTTAACTCAGCAGAATTCAAAAAGACCTTCACATCCTCAAGACTTATGGATTCTCTTCCATACAACATAGAGTTAACAAAGTTTTCATAAGAGTCAGGCAATGAACACAACACAATGAGAGCCTGGTCTTCATCATCAAGCTTAAGATCCAGGTTTTTCATATCCATGACAATTTTATTAAATTCATCAAGGTGTTCCTGAATGGGTGTACCTTCCTTCATCTTCAATGTGTATAGCCGTTGCTTCAGGTATAATCTCGTAGTAAGAGATTTCTTCAAGTAGAGACTTTCGAGCTTTGACCACAACCCCGTTGCTGTTTCCTCATCGGCAACTTCACGAAGCACATTGTCGGATAGTGACAATTGTAAGGCGCTGTGAGCCTTTTCGTCCATCTCTTTGATCTCGGCACTAGTCATATCTTCTGGGTATTTCCTATCGATAGCTTTAACTGTGCCTTCACGTCGCAACAAAGCCTTCATCTTTATCCTCCATAGGCCGAAATTATTTTGGCCATCGAAGATCGACACCGAGAACTTCACAGAAGCCATTGTGGAGAATTGAAAGCTGTCCTAGAAACGGAGAAGCTCTGATACCAATTTATTGGGATAATTTAAACACAAAGCCAAAAAATATAGAGAGACAATCACAAACACAATATTTACGTGGTTCAATCAAATTGATCTACGTCCACGGCAAGAGGGGGCTTTCACTATATTCAATCTCTCAAATACAACACACCAAATTTTAGCAGACGCTCTTTTGTTTTTGCTCTCGCTACTAAGTTGTAAACACACACTGAGAGTTTTAAGAGAGAGTGAGAGATTGAGAAAATCCCTCTGGAGAAGAGAAGTGAGAGGGACATTTGATAACGACCTCCTAATCTACCTAAACTCTCTTTGTCAACACCTAAAGAGCCTGATGTTGTTGACAAAAAACAAAGCCATAAAGAGCCTGATGTTGTTGACAAAAACAAAGCCTTCCACCGAAAGCTCTTCAGCCTGCCTTCATTTTTTACCTCCCAGAGATTTGAAGAGATTTGAAATGGGTCCCACCCATTTTGGATTCAAGCCAAAAATCAACATCAATAGATAGTGGTCCTTCTGTTAATGAACTGTACTAAAAAGATGTCATAATGCTAATAATCTTTTTCGACTAACCTTTCCTTGATATTTCCTTCATATATTTTCTTTATTCCAAGTCATTCAAGTAAACTCTTATAGTGTGTATTATCGCTGCTCTGACCACAAGTCAAAACAATTTGACATTCATATAATGTTTACCGCCAAAGATTGGCAATTCAATTGAATTTTGAATCCCTTTCATTCGATCTCTTCAGCAATCCTCTTTCCCCTTAGCTTAAAAAAAAAAAAAATTATTCCATGCCCTCAATAGGATCTAAGAAGTCCAAAATACTTGGTCTAAATCAGAAGGAAATTCTTGTTACCCACAATTGTTCTGCAGAACTCTTAATCAACCTTGCTCTAATACACAGAATTAAAGTGCAAAGAATAACGAAGTTTCACTTCATAATGATCTTGTCACTGCATAATTATTTTGTTATACATGAGCAAATACTAGGTAGTTTTTTTCCCGTTAATCAATGATAAGTCATCTTCTCGAGAGGGTAAATGCAAATATTTCCATCACATTCCTTTTTCAAGGGAGAAAATCCTTCTCTGCATCCAAAACATCCCGAACTATGGCATCTCCTCTCCCCCTGCGTTGTTAAGCTCCTCTTGGTCGGTGATAATCAATAAAATCCATTTATCGACCTAATTCAATAGAAAGTGATATATCATTAATGCCAGTTGAGTCTCTGTTAGTTGAGGATGAATGTGGACAGGATAGATCTCTTCTTCCTGTGAATCCTGGTTGCTGAGGTTCGCAAAATGATGCATCTCTTTCGTCACTTAACATGAGAACTACTGATGACATTGTTGGCCTAGCTTCTGGGTTTTCTTGCACACACAAGAGTCCAACTTTTATACATTTCATAACTTCATCATATGAGAAGTCAGAACCTATCGTTGGATCTATCAGTTCAATTCCTTTGCCTTCGTTCCACAAATTCCATGCCTGTAATTGGTTTAGGAGATAAATTATAGGTTGACCTACATGCAACATTCATTGGAAGGTACAAAGAAAATCAGGTGTGAATATTGATATGCTTACTTTTCCTAAGAGGTTAGCCTGAGGCTCTGATAGGAAAACGCCCTTGTTTTTTTGTCCACTTATAATTTCCAGTGCTAAAACCCCAAAGCTGAATACATCAGACTTGACAGAGAAAACCCCATCCATTGCATATTCAGGAGACATATATCCACTGCATAACATAATTACGATCATCACTACTTTTGATTTATGAAATTTCGAACAAATGCATGTATAATATAATTAGGTAAAACTTACTATGTTCCAACCACTCTTTTTGTCCTTGTCGTTGCCTCGTCACCACCAAATATTCTTGCCAGGCCAAAATCTGAAATTTTGGGGTTCATTTCTCTATCAAGAAGAACATTACCAGCTTTTAAATCCCTGTGGATAACTCTAAATCTCGAGTCTTGATGAAGGTAAAGAAGCCCACGAGCAATGCCTATAATAATATGGTACCGAGTGCGCCACTCCACATTTATGCTTTCAGCTTTATCTGACAAGATTGTCGCAAACTGTTACGTTCCTCTGTATTCGGTTCTCATTAAAATAGTGCAAAATAGAAAAAGAGTTGTAGAAGAAGATCAATAAACTAACCAAAAAGGAGGGCATCCAAACTTGTGTTGGGCATGTACTCATATATCAACATTCTCTCCTCTCCTTGTGTACAACACGCAAGAAGCCGAACAAGATTTCTATGTTGGAGCTTCGCAATCAACAAAACCTCATTTTTGAACTCATCAGTACCTTGAATTGATGTTTTAGAAAGTCTCTTCACAGCAATCTCTTGTCCATCGCATAGTTTACCCTGACATCAATTATTTAAAAGTTCAAACATTGAGGACAAGAATCTGCTAAATTTGGATTTAGTTTCCATGAGGTACTTTAGTTAACATCTAAATTATAATCAATTGAAGTGTTTAAAATTAGGCGACCAAACTTGCTAACCGTTACTTGTACAGTCGTATTGGATAAGAAAAATGTCAAACCCATCTGGAACCAAGTGTGCATTTTCTGGTCCAGGGGCTATAGCTTTGTTTCCAGCATGGTTTCTGTATGACTAGGGTTTCTAAGTACGGTTTAGTACTGGGCCGGGTTAAAAATGGACACTGGTTCGGAAAGTCAAATTAATGTATATTGTAGGACTAGATAAGTTTTTTTTAGTCCTGAACCTTATCTACATCATGATTAGTTTCTGATTAAGAAATTCATTACTAATGAAAACAAAAAACCATAGTCGCGCAATTCCCTGGACCACCTTTGAACCGTCGTACAGTTCCCGCGAACCGATTCCCAATACATTTGCAAATCGATTTCCCCCGATACATGAATTGGTTCCCCAAAAATTGGTGTACCATTTATAAATATGTAGGCCGCAAAGTCCCTTTAAGTTCATATGCGCAAGATGCAATGCAATGTGTGCAATCAAATAAATGGAGGTGCATAACATAATATATGAGTTAATGGCTTTACTGTAACTAAATACTTATGTTAATAAAACGTGAAATGAAACCATGATCCCAACATGAACTATGTGAAAAAAATAGAACAAAGAAAGGAACCTCATAAAAAGAAGTATTTAAGTATTTGGTATGAAAAAAATATTGAAATGCATAATTAGCTTTCAAATTTCTAGTTTTCTACTATATACTTTTAAAAACTTTAAGCCCACCAAAAAAATTCTAAAACATACCACTAACTGAACTTGCGTACTGAAGCAAGTTACCCCCCATCAAATTCAAATTTTCTAAGTGGCGAATTGCGTACATGAGTTTATACCATGACCCGCTACGTACCACGTACTGTGTAACTATTAAAAAAACATTATTATGAAATTAAAACTATATGTATGTAATTTTAGCTTGGTCTCATCTTAAAGTATTTTTTAATACACCAAAACTTTCAAGTTGTGATGAAGATTGAAGGTTATAAACATTATACTCTATGCAGTCCAACATAAATTAGTAACAAGTAGAAAGCCGACCTTTTTTCTTTCGCAGACACCAGAACCTCACTTACACGGTACTGAAAATATTTTCGCTTTTTGATTTTGTTTTGTCAGTAAGGAGAGATTATCTCAAGTTTAGCATCTTGCTTTATTTTATATCTACCTCCATTTAGCGTGCTTTCACGTTTCATTGATTTTTTTAATGGAACACGGGGAGTGGATATCCGCTTCCCATTGGAATCCTCAGAAATTGTGTTGAATTATGCTTAAATTATATTTACTATACTTGATTCAACTATCATAATAAACCAAATAATTTTGGGTCAATGCATTTACCTCAAAAGAACTGTCTATTTCATTTGATTTAACCAACGACTTCGTTCTAAGTTACTGATTAAAATTCCGTATATATCTGAAATTTTTTGTTGTACTTATCATGAATTACTTGATCACGCAAGATCCATTTGATAACAATAATAAGGCCCAAACCCAGGACCTCTTGGTACCTAGTGTACTCTGATACTATATCGAAAACTGTAGAATTGGCTTTCAGGCTCAGGTTTCAGGCAGACTGGGTGGCGGTCGACCGCGGCGGTCGACCGCGTTCGTGCACGAGGCTTACTGGGCGTCAGGTTTGGTGGCGGTCGACCGCGGCGGTCGACCGCAGAAGTTTCTGTTCTGTGGGCGGTCGACCGTCGCGATCGCGGTCGACCGTACCGGTCGACCGCCGAAGCGGTTTAAGTCTGGGTTCTGTTTCCAGACCCGTTTCGTTTGAGAGTTGTATATAATGTTGGATAATTTAACGATCTAGGCATGAAAATTGAACTAGAAAATAACAGATTAAATTACCGTTCACCGTCGAAAGACAATGGAAGTCTTCTCCTCTCTCCTCCCGTAGCCAATGATGGGAATTAGGTATCTTTTCTGCGTACGGTTGAGAGGAGGGACTCCCACCCTTTATATAGATATTTGTGATTAACCCTACCCATCATGGTTTAATCACAACCGTGGGATTACACTCCGGTTGATCCTATCCTTTAGATATTCAAGATAACCACCCAACTTGATAAACTTGAAACTGTCTAACCAGACCATGTGGTTAGCATCCTGATCCTAACTTGAATCGATGGCAACTTTAAATCAAATCCAAAATCGAGTAGGTTGGGCCACTTGGGTTCGTTGGATTAATCTAACCCAACAATCTCCCACTTGGCACAACATATCTCATTTTAATTTTCAAAAAAAATATTTAAATTTTTCAAAAACTTTCAAAAGTCGGGTGCGCACCCATTTATTTTAGAAAACAACTTGTTGCCATGATTCTAATTAGGATAGTTTCCGAAACCTTTTCCTTAAAACAAAAGTACCACTAATGGTTGATCGTGAAAACACTATATGCTCTAATATGGCACAAGGTCACTCCACGGTCCAACCGCTAGTACCACTAATGTTCTAAAGACATTTTCCTTATGGTGGTTTTAGTGGAGTGTAATAGAACCGTACATCCCTTATGGCCAAAACCGATGTACGCTCTTAAGTGTCCTCTGCAACATACACAAACATGTATGCCGTTCTGAAACTTTTACCGGCATCCGCCATGTGAAAACCATCACCTTTAGTCCAGAACGAAAGCCTCAAATGTGATGCCCAATCACATTCAGCTTCTGCACAAATTTAAGAGTCTCTTTACTTTAACCTTTATGACTCTATGGACCACTAAATATATATCAAGCAACAATGACCAAGAACACAATGCTTGAAAATATCAAACTGCTAAAAATTAGCACAATAGTTTCTTTATGAGCTCAAAGCAATCCAGAATATAGTACTTGAAAATAAAACAAAACTACTATGACAACTGAATCTCACTGATCATATAGAATCAAAAGACTCTAAAACACCCATACTGGATACATGTTCCTTGAAGAGCCCTGGAGAAATTCCCTTGGTCAAAGGATCAGCAATCATCAACTGAGTCGGCAGATGAGGAACCTCAATCAATCCTTGTTCGACCTTATCAAGGACTAACAAGTACTTCACACCGATGTGCTTATTCCTGCTAGAAAAATTCTTGTTCTTTACAAACTGTACGACTGCCTGATTGTCACAATACAATTTTACTGGTCTCTGAATGGAATCCACCACCTTTAGTTCACTGATGAAATTCTTGAGCCAAGAGGCATGCAATGTTGCTTCAAAAACAGCACCATACTCTGCCTAATATTCCCACGATATAACTGATGTCCGGCCTGATGCATGACACCGCATACATTAGACTGCCAACTGCAGAGACATACTCCTCAGAGTTCACGAGCCTACGCTCAACTTCATTTCGTGGACATTGAGATTTGTTGAACATATCTCCTTTAACAACTGGGGCTTCACCTGGTGCACAAAACTTCATGCCATATCGCTGAAGGACTTTCTCAATGTAAGCCCTTTGAGATAAGCCCAACAAGCCTTTAGTTCGATCTCTATGGATCTTGATGCCCAAAACATAATGAGCATCTCCGAGGTCTTTCATATCAAAATGCCTCGAAAGAAAATCTTTAGTCTCATGTAGGAGATGAATATCGCTGCTGGCAAGCAATATATCATCTACATATAATACTAGAATGAGGAATCGGCTCCCACTGATTTTAAGGTATATGCAGCGATCGACAGGATTCTCTCGGAAGCCATTTGATGTTATCACTTGATGAAATTTTAAGTACCATTGTCTGGAAGCCTGTTTGAGACCATATATTGACTTCTTCAATCTGCAGACCAGATCTCCCTTAACTGCAAACCCTTCAGGCTGCACCATAAATATTTCCTCATTCAGATCTCCATTCAAGAATGCCGTCTTGACATCCATCTGATGGAGCTCAAGGTCAAAATGGGCGACGAGAGCAAGAACTATCCTGAGAGAATCTTTCTTAGATACTGGAGAAAAAGTGTCGACGTAGTCAATCCCTTCTCTCTGCTTGAAACCCTTGGCCACTAGCCTGGCCTTGAATCTCTCAATATTTCCTTCAGAATCCCTTTTGGTCTTGAAGACCCATTTGCATTCCATCGCTCTAGCTTTGTTCGGCAAAGGTACCAACTCCCAAACAGAGTTCTTTTCCATTGACTGAAGCTCTTCTTCCATAGCCTTTAGCCAATCAGCTGCATGAATGCTGTCTCTAGCTTGTGAGTATGATGAGGGATCATCGGATTCTGGATCAATGCATCCACTTTCTTGAAGATAGACCTCATAGTCATCAGGTATGGCAGATCTTCTGACTCTAGAGGATCTTCTAACATGTTGTGGCTCTTCTGCAGGTACAAATGTTTCTTGAACTGGAGGAGGAGGTGGAAAGCTATCTGGAAGAGTAGGAAATCTAGAGATGACATCTAATAGCGGAAGCGACTGCTCATCTTCTAAAACTTCCTCAAAACTCAGACCACGATGTTCTGAAGAAGCATTAGGGTCTTCCAGAAACTCAGCATGTTGTGTCTCGAAGAATTGGGTAGACCGAGAAGAACAATAGAACCTGTATCCCTTAGATCTTGCAGGATAGCCAACAAAGCGACACGACACTGTTCGGGCTTCTAATTTCTTAATGTCTGGATTATAAGGTCGCGCCTCTGCTGGACATCCCCAAACACGTAGATGACCAAGACTAGGATCCCTGCCAGTCCAAAGCTTGAACGGGGTCTCTGCTACCGCCTTACAAGGAAGACGATTGATGATATATACAGCTGTCTTCAATGCCTCACCCCAAAAACTTTCAGGCAAATCTGAATGACTCATCATGCTGCGAACAGCATCTTGATAAGTACGATTTCTTCTTTCAGCTACTCCATTTTGTTGTGGAGAACCTGGGAGAGTGTACTGA